GGGCTAGCAGTGGGAAACACTAATACAGATAATGCAAAAACAATGAAATGCATCGGCATACTCTATTTATACATCACATTATCTGACACTTCAAAATATTCCAGCTAAATAATTTAAGCAAGCCATGAAGCTCTGTTTCTGCAAGTGTTAGAGTTCTGCCCCAGCAAGCCTGTGGCACAACTGCTCCCAGAGCTACCCTCTGGCCAGGAATGGGCCCCATCATGCAGACCTGGAAGCCTCCACCCTGGTGGAAGCAGTCATCTTTCTCAAAGCTCTTTCTGGCTCCCACAACCCATGGTTAAAGGAAAATGGGGAAGTGACATATTTAAAGGGCCTTTCTCGAGGACTGAGATGAACTGGCAGACAGACTGCGGCTCCAGATCAGGAAGAGGCTTCAGAGTAAGGGCCACATGCAGATTAAGTCCACATTAAGAAACAATCTAATAAAAGCTGACCATTTTGCTGATAATCAAGTGGACTGCATGTATATATGAATATATCATACATACCTATGTAGAGAATATATGCGTACATATTAAATAGGCATATACACAGATCACACCTAACCAGATAAAATAAATGGTACATACATTGCTACTATGAACACAGCAAGTCCCAGACGAATGACTAATATGTTCAATTAAACTACTTGAATTAAACTACTCTCCCTCTCCCCAAAAGATTCTGCTTGCAGCAAACATACTCCAGTTGCTCAAGCGGTGTTGTTTCTAGGTTCCTGAGAAGGAATGGAATCGTCCTCTTGTTTCAGAACACTACAGAAAGCCAACTGCAACAGGACCAAGCTTAACAACTCATATATTTGATTTGGCCATGATTCCTGCCACCTATTCTTAGTGACAGGGCATGGAACCTTACTGAGAAAGACACCAATTTCTTTTTCTACAACTGGCTACAAATGTACCGTATTACATTAGATGGAGGGGGACGGGGGGAAGGTGAGCAGCAGGGAGTTTACATGTTGGCAGTTATTCATTGCCTTTCCCTTTACCCAGAGAAAATGCTATTTAAAAAAAAAAAAAAAATCCCAGAAGTTTAGAGTTCAATAATGAATTTTGCTTTCTTGGCACATTTTTGAAATGATTATATCATTACATGTGGATAGGTCTTTATCTCCTGAATGCTCCTCTAGGGAGGCAAGTTATCTAAACAACAAAATAACCTACAAAAAAAGTTAATATTGTGAGCAATCTCAACTTGTAGTTATTAAACTCAAAGTCTAATGCTGAAAGACAACAGTAATTTAAACAGATTTATTTATTTTTATTATTATTTTTTGAGATGGAGTCTTGCTCTGTCACTCTGGCTGGAGTGCAGTGGCACGATCTCCGCTCACTGCAATCTCCATCTCCCAGGTTCAAGCGATTCTCCTGCCTCAGCCTCCCCAGTAACTGGGATTACAGGCACATGCCACCATGCCCAGCTAATTTTTTTGTATTTTTAGTGGTAACAGGGTTTCGCCATGTTGCCCAGGTTGGTCTCGAACTCCTCAGCTCAAGCAATCCACCTGCCTTAGCTTCCCAAAGTGCTGGGATTACAGGTGTGAGCCACCGCACCTGCCCCAGATTTATAATGCTATTCACAGATCTTGCAGAATTATAACAGGCTCCTTCTACAACTTGGTTAGTGACATCAAGTACTAACTAAATATGTTCCAGGTCAAGAACTTACTTTTGAGATATTCAAAAAGTGCTTGTCAAGAATATCAGAATCTAGAATTCATGGCAAATTGTATATATTTTAATAAAAACCTTAAAATAAATTCTAATTTTAATTGCTACTCATAGAAACTGCTCAAGAGAAGGTATTAGCCAAAGAGACATGAAATATCCACAGCATTTAGCTACTCCCTGCATCTTCAGTACTGTCTCTAACTTCAATTGTAGTATGTGCTGCTGAAGAGAGCAGTCTGCTTCCAATTTCAACACAGTATTAAGGTACTCTATAGTCATCATCCAATATACATGCTTTAAAAACAGCACTACTCTGATTTAGCCTGGCTTTCTAAGAATGATTCTCTGGAGAGAAAGACCATATGAATGATCCGTGGAAGACCAGAACAATCCTGCTGCGGTCCAAATAGATTTTCCTAGAGACAAGCCTTTGTTAAAATATTCTAAAATCAGTGTATGTGGCACCTTCCAATTCTGGGAACCTGGCCCCTCTAAGCATATGCAATACAACCCCCTAGCTTAAGCTACCTGTGAGAGAGCTACAAATGGCAAAACTTCTTTTGCTACTCTAAATATTAATGCATTAAAAGATCTGTCTAGATAGGGAGCAGATCCCTGCTTTAAAAAAAATAGATTATTATCTCTTGCATATTTGTTTACTAAAGAGCAAAGCATATTACTAGCATGCAGGCTTAAAAAGTTACATTTATTCTGCACTGTAGAAACACTGGAAATGAACAGCCAACAAATCCAATTCCCACAGCTCCATGCAAGGAAGAAGCATATCACCACTTTCTCTGGAAAAGTTAGACAACCATGATTAACCACACACCCTACAATAACTGCCTGCCAATGTCAGTCATTTGTAGCACTGTCAAACATAAAAACTAAAATACGCAAATCACATGGGTTACATAATCAATAAAGGAAAATTAGAAATTTACTTAAGCTTCCTAAAATGCCCAGAGCATCATACGTTCAAGTTTCAGAGATTTAACACCATTTTACTTTTAAAACTGTCACTTTAAATGTACATGTCAAAGTGCTTCAAATGTAGCATACTAGTTAAAATTCTTCCTGGAAGGTTCTAGTGCTGGCAGCTAACTTACTCAAGTTATTCACCCACAGGGTGTTCAAGAAAGGGTATGCTGCCCTACAAAGACACCTCATGGGACACAGAAAATTCTGGTCTGACTTCACAAATTTTCTATAGGGTACTTAAATCCAGAACTGAGGTCAAGATAAGGCCACTCTGAACACAGGCATCAACACAACCAAAGATTTCTGTATCTGTTTTTGGCTCTTTGGGGACCCAAAGTCAAAAGTTCCAGCCCATCAAGCTTACTTTGTTCCCTCTGGCACGTTCCCAGTCCTTGACTAGTCAAGAGATCTAAGGCAATCAAGGAGGTCTGAATGTGGCAACATCTAGGGGCAACAAGGCAAGACCTGAGTGGGCAGCCTCTCTCCTAGGTGGTGGGTAGTTAAGAGGAAACCCAGGTGAAGAACAAAGAGGAAGAATTACAAATAGGCTTCTATATAAAATATAAAGGGGAAAAGTGCCTCTGACTCAAACACCTTCAGATTATCTTTTTATTCTTCATAGGTCATAGAGTCAAAGTCTGTTATGGAAGCAAGGTATATTCCAAATGCATTTTGACTGACTACAAAAATAAACCAGTTCTTTGAAAACCACACTTAGGAAACTTTCAAATTCATAGGATATTTCAAATTCACAGGATGTTAAAGTCCCTTCTTCCCTTTAAAGTGGAAACTACGCCTGCTTTTTCCTTTGTATAGTCTCCCAAAGCTCAGGCTCCAGGTCATAATCAATAATCTTTTGGTACCTATTTAGAATTGGGGTAACTCTAGACATACACTCCCCTCCTCTCAGTGCCTCTATATTAGAATAAATAACATGATGGTATTAGTACTGTAACATCCTAACCACAATCAGCATTTAGCTTTGTTTTCAAAATTAGAATTAAAAGTATTTCAATAATGACATTAAAATGACAAGGAGGAATATTTAGCTTTTTATTTGGAAGTTATTCACTCTATTACCCTTAAGACTAAAACCCATAAACTCTATCAATTACCTATTTGTGGAAGAATGACACTGTAAACTGTAGCAATGTCAAACTGTGTACTGCACGAAAAGCATGGATAATATTAAAGGATCACAAAAGGCAGCATTAGCATTCTCTATCCAGGTATTATTAAATCTTTTTATCCCATGCGCCCCTCAAATATAGGAGAATTATTATCTGATAAGCCTGAAAGGACTTTTTAAAATACTATAACCTAAAAAGACACTTCTTACAGGCATATGCAACTTTGGTCAGCAGAAACACAATACGACCCTCTGGCCTAGCTAAGGCACTCTATTCTGAAAGTACAGAAAACATGCATGTATGCTCCTTATTATGGCATTGCTCCCCAAAAGGCAGCTCACACTGTATGCTGGGGAGAAAGAATGGGACATGAAGTCACCCACAATATCATGCATAAGCTTGAGAGACCTTTCATACTTTGGAAATGTTGTAGTAATTGGCATGACATAAATGCACACAGCTATCTGTAATGAAGTCCTGCTTCAGCTGCTATATCTCTAGACAACAAATGGGGGCTCTCAAGATGCACTTTCAAGAATGGCTGACTAAAACAAGAAAAAGAGTCTGCAGTACACTAAAGATTCACAAGTATCCTGAAACAGTGAATTGCTCAATTTCACTTTCCCGTTGTTGACAGCCACTTTTCTTTCATCGAACAATGTCAATAAAACTGACTATAGCATCATTCTTTTTTTTTTTTTTTTTTTTGAGACGGAGTCTCGCTCTGTCGCCCAAGCTGGAGTGCAGTGGCCGGATCTCAGCTCACTGCAAGCTCCGCCGCCCGAGTTTACGCCATTCTCCTGCCTCAGCCTCCCGAGTAGCTAGGACTACAGGCGCCTGCCACCTCGCTCGGCTAGTTTTTTGTATTTTTTAGTAGAGACGGGGTTTCACCGTGTTAGCCAGGATGGTCTTGATCTCCTGACCTCGTGATCCGCCCGTCTCAGCCTCCCAAAGTGCTGGGATTACAGGCTTGAGCCACCGCGCCCGGCCTATAGCATCATTCTTTACCACCATAGGGAAACAAGTCATACAGTACGGCACAAAACAATTTTCAAATAAATTTGATACAACCAAAAGAGGGCAGAAACACACTTTTGAAGTAAAAGGGCCCCCAAACTATAGAACGTGACCTTAATGCCAGAAGTAAAGGGTATTTTTACTATACTGTACAAGGTCAAGAAATCCTGTGGTCCAAATCTGTCATTTTATAAACATTTATCAGTTCTTTTCTTATATAATACAGATTAATCTCATGCTTGTGTATAAGGTCAACAAATGGTAAAATAATTAGCTTAGAAATCTTAAAACAAAGCTTTTTCCCTACCCCCAATTAACACTTTATTCAGTTCAATTTTACAGATCACAAAGAACAAAGTATACAAAAAATAGTTACCGTCACTTAATTGGTTAATTCTCTGACTTCCATGATGGCAATTAACAAACATGGGATCATTACCTGCATTTTTCTGCATCCATTTCTCATCTATTTCCAACGTTCATCTGTGTCTCAGAGAAAGTCACCAAATATACCTCAACCTTTACAATTTTTAAAAATGAGTATAGAACCATGAGCTAGTGCCGTGACTCATTTCTAATAACTTGAATGACAATGATTGGAATTTATAAATTTTAAAAATGAAACATCAATTGCAGTTATTTTTTACAAAGCAGCAGACTGAAATTCAACAAAGAAATACACTATAATTAAATTTAACAATGGTCACATTCATAAATAGTTACGAATTTAATTACATATCAACACAGTGGTGCCTATGTTATCCAAGTGCAGCCTGTCCAAAAAAAGGAGGTTTAAGATACACTCTTCATTCAAGCACAAACTTCATTCAGTGAAAAATAAAAGAAAATTAGCAAGTAAATTTCACCACCACCAAATTAAATGAAGACAAAGTAAAAAAGAAACAAAATATCCACATCATGAAAAAATATGGTCTACACAACAACTACACTAAAATTAAAGGGATTTTTATGTTTGTCAGTAAACCTCAGAAATTACTCCAAGTCATAGTAACACTAAAGGGGGCATGTACTCAGTAAGGCATATATATCAAAAGTTTTCAAGCGGGGAAATGGACAAGCTGGGGAAGTCAGAATTTCTCTCTGTTTTATCTCGTATGAAATAAAAAACACAGCACCCCACCCTGAAAAAAGAGAGAGGGGAAGGACAGACAGACAGACAAAGTGAATCAAAAAATTAATTTTGGTCATAGAGAGGTTCATGAAATTCCTAACTCCAATTTATATTTATCTTACAAGGTACTTTTATCTGCATTCCTCACAAGTCATTATCATAAGACTGGGACTGTCACATGCATTCCTACAATCAGAGCTCACAGGCACCAAATCTCAGGAACCTGCAGCTGAAGGGGGGAAAATGCCACATCTAAACAAAACCATCCCAATGGGTGAGCTATAATTACAACCCATTCTCAAATTTTCAACTGATTATTTCTCTTTAGGAGAAAATTATTATCAAGATCTGTTCCATAATAAAGAGAGCTAGAATACTAGAGAATCTAAATATATATTAGCTAAATGTGTTAGTTCTCTTACTATTTGAGGACAAAAGCCATTTTCAGGGGAAAGAGAAACCAGTATTTGGCAACTGTCTATTGTTTGGTAATCACTGGCATCTCTTGGTGAAGGTGACTTATTTTTATCCTTTCCCTGTACTAGATTTGAACTATTGCTACTCCCACTATTACAAAGTACCAAATATGAAAACACACTGTGGTTTTCTGAGTGTTATCAGTGTTCTGAAACCAATTTTGGTATTAAAAAAAACAAAAAACAAAAAAAAACAAAGCATCTTTAACTCTGCATGAATCACAACATTGTAAACTCATGAAGTCAGAACCACTAGGAACATTTCGCTGGTCTAACGTACATTCTGCTCAACCAAAATGTCACATAGTTTTATAAAAAATAAAATAGGCTGAGAGTTAGTAGGTCCAAAATTTCACAAGTTCAGATTACATGTATCATTCCTGCTATCCAAGTATCATACTGAGATCCCATGTCTGTCAAGCAGATCAGTCTAGTTCAATGGTGATGGAGGAAATATTTACAAGCATTTATTTACAGTACTTCTTTCTGCCCAAAGAAAGATTATTACAGGCCAATATTCTTTTCTTCCATTCCTAGTCAATCTGAGTTTGGTTTCCTCAATGAGAAGGGGTAAATCTGAAAATGGCTGCTCAGCTGCTTTACCTGTGAAAAATCAGAACATGAGACAGTGACAAATACGTACCTTATTGTGTTTTTAAAAGCACACAGAATTTACCCTAGAGATAACAATTTATTGACATGGCAAAAATCATGAAAAATACTGAAAAGGTTTTTCTGGATTAGGACAGCTATAGAGCTAGACAGCTAAATGGGAGTACTAGAACTACCCTGGGAAAGTTTGGACTTGGAACTAAAATCCAGACTTCAGAACCCTCCAGAGCACTCAAATTCACATCCAAATCTGAAAAACTATAGGATTAGTTGACATGTAGTATCTAGATCAAGTAATAACATTTATAGTTAGACTAAATATTCAGCTTGCTAAACATTTCTAAGTAATCACTCCTAATCCCAATGAAATAGTAGAAAACTAGATCTATGAATTTGGAGAGGCTTTATTAGTTAGGGTATCTCTACTGGGAAGGCAAGAGCTTAAAGGCCAGCAAGTGCATGTCATTTACTTGATACCTATTATTTACATTTCAGTAGTTAAAGTGAATGTTTTGTGTGGCCTAGCAAGTTTTAACTTCTGGCCAGAAGTTGTAGACATGGTAAAAGAACACAAAGACAGACAAAAAAGATGATCCTAAGTTGTTTTCCAGTTAGCCTCTTATTTATTTTCCAGGTTTTTAACAATGAAAATGTAGTACCTTTGTAATTTAAAGAAAAGTGTATTTTGGTTTGGTTTGGTATGTTTGTAGCTTTCTAAAGATATGCTTCTATAAGGCTATAGTAAATGAAAACAATTTAAAAAGACACTGGCAAATGGATATTCTATGCCATGCATATACTGATGAAGTATCAGGAAAAAGGCCCAAGAGTGTTGCTATAAGGCATATAAGGTTACATTTGTAAAAATAAAAACAAAAATAATTATGTCTTATATCACAATTCATCGCAGCTTTTTTCTCCTTAACAATTGTATCTAGTTTGTTCTAACAAATGAGGGCAACTTTGTAGAGAAACACTAAGGGAAGAAAGCCCAAGTTTAGCAACATATGCAAGGTATAAAGTTGTTATCAAGCGTGATAGCTGCCTCTCCCACTTAAAAACTGTGTATGAAAATACAGAAGATATTTTGTTTCTCAAATGGATTTATAGCAGGGTTCCTTTCAAAACAAGCACACCAAATAGAAGTGTCTGAAGAGTCATAAAAGTGTGAATACCCTGTCACAACCCCATTCCTATGAAATTATCCTCGGAAAATAAAGTAAATGAAAAAAAAAATATTCCAGATTGTTTACGCCAACATTTTTTTTTCTTTTTTTATTTTATTTATTTATTTATTTATTTATTTATTGAGACAGGGTCTCACTTTGTCACCCAAGCTGGAGCACAGTGGCACCATCTCAGCTCACTGCAGCCCCGACCTCCTGGGCTCCAGTGATCCTCCCACCTCAGCCCTCCAAGTAGCTGGGACTACAGGCCCGTGCCACCACACCCAGCTAGCTTTTTTGTATTTTTTGTATAGACAGGGTTTTGCAATGTTACCCAGGGTGGTCTCGAACTCCTGAGCTCAAGCGATCCACCCGCCTCAGCCTCCCAAAGTGCTAGGATTACAGGCATGAGCCACCACACCCAGCCTAGGGCAATATCTATAATGGTGAAAATCTGGAAACAACCTAAATGATTAACTGTGCTGTGCAGGGTCATTATTAAGTAATCTCCTTGGTGGAATACTGCACAGCCTATGTTAAAATATGTAAAATAATTAGAAAAGAATGTTAAGTGAAAGAAAAACCAAATGGTTCTGTTTGATTTCATTTTATCTGTATTCGTCCATTCTCCTAAAATTAGTTTTAGAAGAAAATATCAAGCTTACAAAACATTTCTTAAAATCTCTTTTCTTCTATATTCCCCCTTATTTATTAATCTTGCTGATGAGGGCTCAAGAATAACACACATGAAGTAAAACCTCAAATAACGCAAAAGTCTTCCTTCAGTCTGAAATTCTAATCTCCCTCACCACAATTGCTGCAAACTGGGCAGCGGGAGGGAAAACGCACTACACAACCAATTATAGTTTCTTTCCAAATGTTGTTAATGAACAATAAAAATGCCCCTAAAGTTAAAGAAGCAAGTGAAGAAATCGATAATCAACAAATGTGATTATCTGATCCCATATAACTAAAGGCTCAAACAGTTTACAATTCTACTCACCAAGAAAATGGCTTATACATACCCACTTACAATAGGAACTAATTCCTCACAATAATTATCCAGCCTTAAAATCATTTGTAATTACAGTAATATACTCATTACAGAAACAATATCTGAAATTAAACATCTGGATATTATCCAAAATTTAGAAAATATCCCAAAACCCTTACAGCTACTATAATAAGCTACTTTCTTTTTAAAATTTTCCATTGCCTCCTTTCTACTCGGAGGCATTTATTGGTTCCATTTATAAGACCCAAATTGAACCAATTTTGCTGTAGATTACTCACCACTCGTACTCCATAATGGATGTGGGCCAGAGTAAAAGCCGTTGTTAATGTATACAAGAGAATGCTCTCAATGTAAGAGGCTACTCCTAGGTTTACCACTAAGACAACCAAGAAGAGAGGAACCAGCAACCAATTCAAAGTTGGACACCGGGTACTACTCATTTGGCAAACAATCAGCTGACACTGGACGTTAGTTTAAAAAAATAAGAGAGAAAAAAAGAAAAATTTCATTAGCAAAGCACTTCCAAAACTAGTCATTCCAACATTTGAAAAGCATTCAAGTACCTGAACCAACAACTTACATTATCTAAGTTCAGAAGTTCTCAATGCTTAGGGGCCCGACTGGACCCCTGGCCCTGCCCAAAAACCTATGCACCCTCACAGTGTGTGTCAGAAGAGGCTGGAAGATAACTAACTGAATAAGGATGCTATAGAAGGCATTCTTTCACTGGGCAACAGTTTGAATAAAAGAAATTTCTCTCAATTTTAAGACTCTATGATATGTTAAAAAAAAAAAAAATTCAAAATTGCCTCTCACACCCCCACACAATTAAGTTTCTTTATAGCAATGAAGAAGTGCTACCTCCAGTTCAGTCCCGTTGCCATAATTAATATCTCAAAACCTCTTTGGCTCCTTTATTTTTGAAGAGCTTACTTAAATACAATTCTTTCAGAGATACTTTTTATACAATGCATTAGTGTTTTTAGATGTTTAAACCCTATAAAGTCAGCAGGACTTGGGATATTACACACGTTACAAACATGGAAACATAAGATGAGTAGCTAAGTTACAAAATCAAAACTTCTAAGGAACTGGCCTGAGCTAGAACACAGACCTTCTGGCTTTCAGGACTATCAGGGTCTTTTCTCAACTCCTGATCTCTGCTTCCTGTCTGCTGTCTTGCACAGTCCAGCATGGAAAGGAATTTATAAAAATATGTTATTACAAAGTTTTAAATTCCATGTTCCTAATCTTAAAATCAGCTGATTTTTAAAGTGTGTGTTTTCTCTTTCTCAAAAATCTCTTCCAAGCTTCCTAGAATAATCATTTAAGTCTACAGCCATTTCAGTCATACTGGTAATATATTTAGAGTCTAAAGGGAATCTATAAATTTTTTCCATGAATTCTTCAGCAGGCAACCAAAATAAAAAATTCAAGTGTGCCACAGTTCCAAAATACTACTGTAGTCTCCAATCCGATTGGTTTCAAAGGGCAAAACAAAATAATTTTCAGCATTTCAGTTTTTGGGGTTACTATTCTTTCAAATTTCTAAAATAAAAATCTTTAAATTAAAATCTGTTTATTCTAATATTAAAGATTTTTCAAATTATCAAATTCTGTCATACATTCCTAATATATATTATGATTTTTAAAAGAAAAAAACGTACTGTGCTGTTGGCAAAGGCTGTTCCAACCATAAAGTAGAATACTCTAGGATGTAGCTCTAAAATATCCGAAGGGGACCAAAGGATCCACGCTGTAGACAAAATGAACAGCAAGCATGGAGAAAATAAGGGAACCACAGCTTCATAGACTGAATTGTGTTTCAAGGTGTTATTTTTATAGCTTCTGGAAAGAAAAATCAAGTAATATTAAAAAATTAAGTAATATAAAGAACATTATTACATATAAATTATATAGTACTTGTACTGTAGTTTATAGTTTCCTTATTTATACACTTATTTTATACTCACAATAATCTTGTGGTATAGACAGAACCAACATCATTAATCCCATTTTACAGACAGGCTAAGTGAGGATAAGAGAATTTAAATTTACAAAACTTGCTACCAAGTGGCAGGGCCAGGGTTAGAACGGAAATCTTCTGACCTCTAATCCCATTTCTTTCTCTTTAAACCAAACTATCAACTGCTGTGCTAAGAATATAAAGATGAATAAAATTTGGACTTTGTTCTATGAGATATTCTAATGGGGGAAATAAGATGAACATAAAATATTAGAAGAGTACCTCAAAGTGCAGCTTTGACACAAAGTGATAGAGAACTTAGAGTGAGACAGAGCTCACAAGAAAGACTCTGAGGTACGACTGGCATACCACATCTCAGTGTCTCTAAGCACACAGAGGTTATACAATACATGTCTGCTCAGCTGGAGAGAGCTCCAAATTCCAGTCCTGCTTCCGCCACTGATGACACGACCTCGGGCAATATGTTGCCCAATCAGAGGCTGGCTGTTATAAAATGAGGAGAAAATGTAGAGAAATAATCTCTACATCCTTCAGAGCTTTAAACTATATGGCTTCTATAAATGACTGCCAGCTCCAATAAATGAAGAAGTTTAATAGAGCTTGGTTTAACGTAAATAAGATTCTGCTACGCAGATTTCGGAGCTAAAGGATGAAGTGGGAAGTATAAGAAAATGTTTCAACCAGAAGAAAAAGGAGCAAAGGAAACAGTGGGAGCAAAATTACTAAGGAAGGAAAGAGCAAAATATATTCAGGACACAATAGGCAAATTCAGTGTGGCTCAGCAAAAGTGGAGAAGCACACAGATCAGAGAAATGAAACTCCACCTGAGCAACTCCCTTCTCCCCACAACCCAGACGGGAAGTTCTACAGAAGGGCTATTTAAGAAAAGTCAGCACAGGTCCAGTTTGGTCCTAAACTACACACATTCAGAATTTTTATGATCTTGCTAAATTTTTTTTTTTTTTTTTTTTTTTTTTGAGACAGAGTCTTGCTCTGCCACCTGGCTGGAGCCTGCTCAAGCAGGCTGCCACCTGCTTGAACCTCCGCCTCCCAGGTTCAAGCAATTCTCCTGCCTCAGCCTCCTGAGTAGCTGGCATTACAGGCACGCGCCACCACACACGGCTAATTTTTATATTTTTAGTAGAGAAGGGTTTCACCATGTTGGTCAGGCTGGTCTCAAACCTGACCTCATGATCCGCCAGCCTCGGCCTCCCAAAGTGTTGGGATTACAGGTGTGAGCCACTGTGCCTGGCCTCATTAGAAGACTATTTGATTAGTCCAAAACCATAACAAAAGAACTAGTAGTTTTGTGCTGTGTTTGAAATGACTACATTAGCCACCACAGACACCCCAAACTATCCTACCCCATTCTAGACTTAAAATATAGGTTTTGTGACCTTTTCAAAATGTCCTGATTCTAAAAGGAAAATAGATCCCTAAGTTCAGCTAACAACCGCTAAAACTTCATATTTCTTGCCCATTTAAAAAATAAAATACTTACCTGAAAAAGTTTAGTAAACTCATTGGAAGAGTCACACACAATGCACAACCTAAAGGGAATAAGTATTCAATTATTATGCTTATTCAAGAGCGATTATTACATTATCACTGAATCATGCAAAACAAACATTTTTAGACCCCAAACATTTCAGGTTCAAGTTTACTTCTGTAATAAAATTAAATACATTTATAAACAACATTTACAACAGGAAGACTGGCAGTACAATTTGGTGATTCAGAGGGCAGACTCAAAGAGCCAGCTGGGCCTCAATTTCAACTGTACCATGAACTGATTATGGGACTTCAGGCAAGTTGGTGTTTTCCTGCCTCAGTTTCCTTATTTATAAAATAGAGATAACAGTTGTAGCAACCCCACAGAGCTTCGAGAAGTGAATGAGTTATGACATGTTAAGATACCTGGAACGGTATGGGGTACCGAAACTGCACAGTAAGCATGAGCTACTCAAAGGGGGAATCCTGTTGCTTCACATTTATTTTTTACCTTCCTAGCTTTTTTTTTTGGCAAACAGGGTCTGGGTATATTCCAGGCTGGTCACAAACTCCTGGGTCAAGCAATCCTCCTACGTCAGGCTTCTGAGCAGCTGAGACTACAAGCATGAGCCACCGCACCCAGTCTTCCTAGCATTTTCAATTTCTCCCCCCAGCTACTTCCATCCACACACTGGTTCTCTTCCCACAAACTTTAAAACAAAGATGGCCTTCCCAAGAAACCCTCCCATTGATTCTACTGTCCTCACTATCTACTATCTTCTTCTGCTTTGTCTTATCATTTGCTAAACTTTTCAGTTGTCCTCAATTTCTTAGAACTTTTTTATTTACTGTGTTCCAACTTTGCAGAAATTATACTCTTGAAATTTACCAAGCTTTCCTAATATTCAAATTTAGTGTCGTTTTTTCATTCCTGACTCCTAAGTGAAATGCCTTGGTTGACTATCCACTAAACTGAAATTCTTTCCTCCCTTTGTCTTTGTGATGCCATTCTCCCTATGTTTCCACTAGCCATCTCACCATTTCATTCTGTATCCTTTGTTGGCAATTCTACTTCCTGCATATTACTTCTGGGTGCCCCACTGCACTTATACTCTCTCTCTCTCTCTCTGAGAATCTTCTTTTAAAGCTCAACTACAAACTTACAAAAGATGATTGCAAAATCTAGTTACAGACTCTTGGGCAAACTCTAACAATCTGAACTTTAGATTCCAGTTGTACAATGGGGATGGGTTGAACTATGTTCTAGTGTCCCTTACATCTTTAAAATTATTTGATCCTATGATCTATAGTGATATAGGTTTCTAATTATTTTCTCTCTCAAACTCCGAATCAATATATCTGGCAAGCTGCTGGGCACTTCATTTGGATGTTCCATTGTCATGCAACATATTAGCCCGTTTGTCTATTCCAGTTACCTGGTGACTCTACTTGGTTTGAGTGTCAATGCAGCTATGGCCTTAAAGATTAAAGGTAGAAAACATTCCTTCTAAACAATTCCTAAGACATTTGGCTTAAAACAAAGACTAGAACCCAACAGAAATCTTATCTCTAAAAAAGAAGTACTCTGCTACTTCCAAGCCCAAGTAGAATAAAGTTCCCCAAATTAGACGAACTTAGAGGGGAACAAAGTTCCCCAAATTAGACGAACTTAAAGGGAAAGGAAAGAGAAGACCACCTGAGGTCCTCAGTGTTCTCAGAAATTTTTAGCAGCTTACTCCATGTCAAGCTGGGAAGCACTGGAGGGGAGCCAAGGCTAAATGAATTAACGCAGAAGTACTCGTAGCTCTGAGGTGTTGGAAATAGGCTGAGACAAACTAGCAAAAGATTTGCCACCAAGAGTAATTTTAGTTTTAAAAATATTGAAATAACTATCTCAAGTATAGTGAGCATGTAGAAAGCCGGGGCTCTATACAGGCTGCCGAAGAGAAAGGCTGCATCTTTTGTTTCTTCTCTTTAGTACTTAATGTACTTTCTGTAACGAGTACTTAATTGTTAAATACTTGTCTATGAAGCTCTATGTTTCAAGTAGAGAACAGTGATAGAGACCATACATATGCAGACCTGCTTTTCATCTTGCCACAAGTGAAGGCCCAGACTTCATAACAAAGGAAACTTAACAGCTAGAGAAAAATCAGAGTAGAATTTGTAAAAAAAAAAAAAAAAAAAAAAGGACCAAGTTGAATGAGATACAATCCAAGGATAGCATGGCATAAAAAATATTTTCGTTCCTCACATTTCCAGCTTATTTATTAAGTAGGTACTTCAATTAAAACCACCAAAACAAAAAGTACTTTAAGAAAAATTAAAAAGAGAAACAATAATGGGGAAAACTATAATCTATATTAAAGGATTAATATACCTAATACATGAAGAGTTTCTAAAAATAAAGGAAATGGCCAATAACCCTATAGAAAAAAAAAACCTGCTTGAGAGATGTAAAATATACAGAAAAAGACATACAAACGGCTCTTAAACCTAGAAAAGCTCATTCATAGTAAGAGAAAGGCAAATTAAAACTGTACAGACATCATTTCTTACCTATCAGACTGGCAAAAATTCAAACGTTTGACAATATACTATGTTGGTAAAACTATAAATTAACAAGCACTGTCATACACTGCTGGTGGGAAAGAAAATCACACAACCCATATGGAGGGGAATATGGGAACATTTAGCAAAACAGCACACACTTGTCCTCTATAGCAATTCTGCTTCTAGGGACCCCTTCCTCAACACCCTGGCAAAAATATGAAAAGACTGATATACAAGACTATTCACTGCAGCAATTTGTACAACAGCAAAAACTGGAACTAACCCAAATGTCTATTGATAGGGGGATGGTTGGACACACTATGGTACATCCACACAATGAAGTGCCAGGCAGCTGTAAGAGGACTGAGGAGGATTCTTATAGACCACTATGGAGTGATCGCTAGGATATACAATTAAGCAGGGGGGTGGGAAAAAAAGGCACAGTATATAGTATGGTACATATAGAATGGAATGCTACCATGTATCTATGAAAGTGAGTGATAAAATGAAACACAAATATTTACTTATAATAAGAAAGAAACAATGAGGAAAGAAAGGATTGGGTAGCAATAGAAGCTAGACTTCCTTGAATATACCTCGTTCTGTAAATTTGACTTTGTTATCACAAATATTTTACATAATTACAAAGGAAAAATGAATTTTAAAAGAAAAAGTAATTTTTAAAGTAAAACAAAAAAAACCTAGATGTATAAATCCACAGCTGGTGGCATAACCACAGAGTGGTGATTTTAAAATATAGTAAACTGACTGGACACACCTAGTGGGACAAGTCATAAGGACAAATAAAACTGCAAAATAAACAAAATCCTAATTTTCAGTTTTCCTCTGTTTGCTGATTTAGGTACTGTTTTATGAGACTGTTGTGAGTATTTCATGGAATAAAGCAAGTGAGTATTCTGTGTTACTGAAAACCAAGGATTTTGTCATAGGTTTAAAGGAGATAAAAATGTAAGATCAATGAGGTTAAGAAAAATTCTGTACTATAAAATTTGCTTTCAAATTATCAGTATGTATTTATGAGGTATTTTATCATAAAACTAAAAACTTGATTTCCTTACCTATCCATTGAATGAATGAATTCCTAAGCCATGATAATCAATGTCTGTTAATATTATTAGGTGAAGTTTAACCCTTAATAGTTTAAGGTAGCAGGTTAAAATATATACATATATATAAGTATGGTAAAGTGATGATGTAAACTTTGTAGCAGATGGAACATACAAAATCTAAACCCGTTACTTGCCTCCTAATGTGATGCAATAGAAAGACCTCCTAATGTGATGCAAAAGAATGCAATACTTAATAAGTATTGTTCCCCAGCACGCCCCCGACCCCCAAAATTAAACCTGTAACAAACTAAGCTCACGGATCTAACTATCATTTACAGGAAAAGTGAGGAGTAGAGGAACATGTTAAACAATGCCATGAGACCGCAACCAAGAAAATGTAGAATCTAAGAATTCTGTTGGCCAAATGACCCACTTTCTTCAACACATAAACTTCAAAGGAAAAATAGGGAAAAGCAACATAGATTAAAAGACATTTTTAAAAAACGTATTTATTTATTTAGAGACAGTTTCGCTCTTGTCACCCAGGCTGGCAATGGCGCGATCTTGACTCACTGCAACCTTCACCTCCCAGGTTCAAGTGATTCTCCTGCCTCAGCCTCCTGAGAGCTGGGATTACAGGCATACGCCACCACACCTGGCTAATTTTGTATTTTTAGTAGAGATGGGGTTTCACCACGTTGGCCAGGCTGGTCTCAAACTCCTGACCTCAGAAGATTAGCCTGCCTCGGCCTCCCAAAGTGCTGGGATTACGGGTGTGAGCCACTGCGTCCAGCCAGATTAAGAGAAATTTAAAAGGCATACCAACCAAAGGCAACTATATAGGTACTTGGCAGCTATAGAAACACATCAATTGTGGTTCTTTTACAGAAATCCTTATCATTTAGAGATACACAATGAAGTATTTATGGATGAAAAGAAATGATATCTGGGATTTGCTTTAAAATAATCTAAAGGAAGGAAGGTGTCTGTTAATGATGGCATAAAAAGGGACGACAATTCTTCTCACAAATAATGATTAAAAACCAGACAAAGATATTTAAAACAACTACTTAAAGGTACTAGAAAATACTCAAGGGCAGAAAGAAATTCGAGAAACATTTATGGTTGAAACACTGGGGAACAACTCCGAGTTTGTGGCTTGCCTACCCCATCCCAGCCCGGATGAGGAAAGCCACAGTCTTCCTCACCAGCTTGTGGAAGCAGATACCATAATTCAGAGCAGCAGAGGAACTCGAAAGCAGGGTGGGGGGTATTGTAGAAGAGAGAGATGCAGAAGGGTTGAGATTCTAAATCTGAGAATATACTCTGCCCAAACTCCTGGGTATGGATGCTAAACTAAGCAAGCAAATAGAAGACCCCACAGAACATAGTGAAAGAGAAGGCAGAAGTAGAGGACATGCTGTCCTTGAAAGACAGAGGTGTTCTTGGTGAGATGTGAGTCTGTTGTCTCTCTCACTAAGTGTGTTTCCAACCCACACTCAGACTGGGCTGAAGAAGGCAAAACTCTTACTGGCTTGAGGGTTGGGGGTAGAACACAATTGCTGGAAGAGCAGCTGAAGATTCAGGATGGGGAAACTCCAGAAGCAAGAAAATCACAGAGAGGTGAGCGCCAAAATCTCAGTATTGACTTTGCCCAAATCTTTGGCTGACCACTAAACTACACAGACACAAAGGAGACCCCCAAGAGACCCGGCTAAAAAAGCAGCAGCTAAAAGCTGAAAATAACCAAACGGAGACAAGAGCTAATATACAATGTGATGGGACAAATTTTTTCATCTGAGTCCAAACAAGTTAAATGCTTATCAGAACAAAAAAACAAAAATCCTCAAAGCAGAACAGATTATAGTCTCCACAAATGTAATCTATAATATCCGGTTTTCAACAACAACAACAAAATTGCTAGATATGCAAAGAAATAGAAAAAAAAAGGCAGTTAACAGAAAATGACTCTTAAGTGGGCCCAGATGTTGGACTCAGTAGACAGACTTTAAAGCAGCAATGTTAAATATGTTCAAAGAACTAAAGGAAAATATGATAGATAATAATGAACAGAAGAATCTTAACAGACAAATGGAAAGTTTAAAAACCAAATGGAAACTCTAGAGCTGAAAAGTACAGTAACTTTTTTTTTTTTTTGAGACAGGGTCTTAGTCTGTTGCCCAGGCTGGAGTGCAGTGGCACAATTACAGCTCACCGCAGCCTTGACTTCCTGGGCTCAAGTGATCCTCCTGCCTCAGCCTCCCAAGTAATTGGGACTACAGGCATGTGCCACCATATTCAGCTAAATTTTTCTATTTTTTGTAGAGATGGGATCCCACTATGTTACCCAGGCTGGTCTTGACTTCCTAGCCTCAAGCAATCCTCCCACCTCAGCCTCCCAAAGTGCTGGGATTACAGGTGTGAGCCACTGCACCCAGGGAAAAGTACAATAACTTAAATGAAAGATTTCCTAGATGGGCTCAACCACAAATTGGAGATGGCAGACGAAAAAAAAAAAAAGCAATGAACTTAAAGATAGATAAATAGAAGTTATCCACTACAAAGAATAAAGAGATTAAAGAAAACTTAATAAAGCTGCAGAAAATTACTTTTAGGACAGTATCAAGCAAACCTGTGTAACACACATGTAAGTGGGGTCCCAGAAGAGAAGAGAGAGGGGAAGAAAAAATATCTCAAGAAGTAAAACTGTGACTGAAAACTTCCCACATTCAGTCAAAAATACTAATTCACAGGTCCAACAGAGTCAACAGCTCAACAAATACCAAGAAAGACAAACACAAAGAAAACCACACCTAAGTACACTATAGTCAAACTTCTGAAGGCCAAAGATAAAAACAGAACCTTGAAAGCAACAAGAGAAAACTAATACATTACAGAGTGACAATGATATATGAGCTGACTCAGAAACAATGGATGTCAAAAGACATTAAAATGATGTATTCAAAATGCCAAAAGAAAAAATTCAGGCAAAATCAATACATTTTCACATAAGTAAAAAGAGAGAATAAACTGCTACCATACCTGCACTATAAAAAAACCTAAAGGAAGTCCTTCAAACTTCTGGGAAAGAACACCAACCACATGGTAGGTCAAATATAAAGGCAAATGTGTCAGTAAGTAAAATAAACTGTATATAACACAACCCAGGGGGCTAAGCAGGGGGCTAGAGAATACTGGCACATTTCAAACAAGATTGGCACTGGTACTGAAAATAGTTGAGACTGGATAACAGTACATAAGGGTTTATTATATAAAAGTAGAAACATTATAAAGAAAATTATGTGCCTATTAGAGTACACACTTAACATTAAAAAATATATCTCATATACCAGAGGATTCTGTCTTATCTAAATTTAACATTTAAATGCAACATGCAGGAAACCTACCCATAGGACAATCAAAAGGGTCACTACATAATTGGAGAAGAAAAATAGCCTTTTTGAGGTAAAGAAATAACAGTTTATACAGGCATCAAAAATGAACATTTGATAGATTTCAAGATAGCTCCTAAAATATGTAGTCCAGAGCTACAGAAAAAAGCCCAAACCATTCCTTTTCTGAAAGCCAGTGCCTAATATGCTGTTTTCTTTTTTTTTTTTTTTTTTTTTTTTTGAGAGGGAGTCTCGCTCTGTCGCCCAGGCTGGAGTGCAGTGGCCGGATCTCAGCTCACTGCAAGCTCCACCTCCCAGGTTTACGCCATTCTCCTGCCTCAGCCTCCCGAGTAGCTGGGACTACAGGTGCCCGCCACCTCGCCCGGCTAGTTTTTTGTATTTTTAGTAGAGACGGGGTTTCACTGTGTTAGCCAGGATGGTCTCTATCTGCTGACCTCGTGATCCGCCCGTCTCGGCCTCCCAAAGTGCTGGGATTACAGGCTTGAGCCACCGTGCCCGGCCTAATATGCTGTCTTCTAAACAGTTTCTAAGCCTTACCTAATTCCCATTCCATTACCAAGGTTCACCAAATGGGAAAGGGTTTTTTTTTTTCTTTTCTTTTTTTTTTTTTTTGGAGACAGGGTCTCACTCTGTCACCCAGGCTACAGTGCAGTGGCACATGCAATCATAGCTCACTGTAACCTCCAACTCCTGGGCTCCAGTGATCCTCTGACCTCAGCCTCTCAAGTAGCTAGCATTACAGGTGCACATCACCACACCTGATTAACTTCAGTTTTTTCTACAGACAGGGTTTCACTATGTTGCCCAAGCTGGTCTCAAACCCCTGGGCTCAAGAGATTCTCCCACTTCGGCCTCCCAAAGTGCTGGGATTATAGGCATGAGCCACTGTGCCTGGCCTATTTTTTAAATAAGAGAACAGAACACAGGACATAGCCCACACATATACCTTTTTACTTCTACAAAGGTTCTCAGTGCCACTCCTGGGGCCCCAAAATAACAATCTAGATTTCTCTTTACCTCTTTCCATACCACTAATACCCTCCTCCACTCAGTCAATCATCCTATAGATATCCCCTTTAGCTAAAATCAAAACAGAAAGATTACCACCATAAAAAATCTTTAGCAATCAGTGGGTTAAGAAGGAGGATATCTGAGAGGAATAGAAGCTTAATTTTTTGAATGGATACATTATAAAATAATCTCTACATTTCATCTGTCCTGTATTTCATACAAACTAGTAATTTTCAACTTTGAGATAAATATAAAACCTATACCAAATGTGGACCCTCCAATACAGCCTAGGTTAATCTGAATAGTCACTTTATCAGGCTTGTGTGATCTGTTTTGGTATTTCCCTCTGATTAGAAATAGCTGATGCTGAACAAAAAAAAACCCCAAAAACAAAGAAATCTTATTTTTCTTAATGGTTAGGCTGAAATCCTACAAGGTTGTAGGGTTGTTCTGCCTCCTGGAGGTTTTGTGAGGCAAAGGGTGTTGTTGCTTGTTATAGTCAAATACTGGCTCTTTTGATAACAAAGTGATGGTTAAAACAGGCTTCAACATGGAGCTTCTTACCAATAATCATTGAAGTGAATAGGTCTCTATATAAGAAATTAAACAGGAAAGGTTCATACCAGGCCTCAACTCCCACAACCGCAGTCACTATGTAGACAAAAGAAATAGTCTGGAAGGAAAATGCAGACAAAAGCATACAGAAGCGTTAACGCTAGAAAGATCAGGAGTCACCATGATTTATGCAGCATTAAGTCAAGTCAAACAGTTTTAGTAAAAGCAAGAAGTATGCTTACATTTGGTATGTGGCAATTCTTACCTTTTGTGGCAAGTCTTCTTACCTTTAAAAATACAATCTTTTGGCCGGGCATGGGGGCTCATGTCTGTAATCCCAGCACTCTGGGAGGCCAAGGCGGGCTGATCACCTGAGGTCGGGAGTTCTAGACCAGCCTGACCAACATGGAGAAACCCCATCTCTACTAAAAATACAAAATTAGTGAGGTGTGGTGGTGCATGCCTGTAATCCCAGCTACTCGGGAGGCTGAGGCGGGAGAACCCCTGAACACTGCAGAGGTTGCAGTGAGCCGAGATCCCGCCATTCCAGCCTAGGCAACTATAGCGAAATTCCGTCACAGAAAAAAAAAACCAAAGAAAACCAATCTTTTAGCCAACAATGCTATAAAATAACCAACTTCTAGACAATGCAAGCAACTGGCCATCATTTGGAGCACTTTAACAGCAACTCATAAATTGGTTAAGTTGTAAGATGATCCAAATTTACCCACCCAACCACTTCCTTCAACAAACACTCCAACTTCTGATTTTTTTACTGGAGACGTAGGTGCAAATGGGCAAAATGGCAACACAAAAAGCTGGGATTCAAAGGCAGGGAGAGTTAATAGCAAGGCCATTAAAGTAAGAAAAAAGAAATCTCTCTACACACTGAAAAGGTGGCAATGAACACAAAAAGCCAACCATTCAATTCTATGTGCATATCTTTCTTTACAAAATCAAGAGTTCAAATGAACATTTAATAACATTAAGAAATAGTTAAATTTTTGGTGTAATACTGACATTGTGATTTTTTTTAAAGGAAGCTCTTAGAGATAGTGAAGTATTTATCATATAATATTAGAAATGTCCTTTAAAATAATTGAGAAGGGCTGAGCATGGTGGCTCATGCCTATAATCCTAACACTTTGGGAGGTCAAGGCAGGCGGATCATTTGAGGTCAGGAGTTTGAGACCAGCCTGGCCAACATAGTGAAACCCTGTGTCTACCAAAAATATAAAAATTAGCCAGGCATGGTAGTGGGCACCTGAAATCTCAGCGACTCGGGAGGCTGAGGCAGGAGAATCGCGTGAACTCAGGAGGCAGAGGCTGCAATGGGCTGAGATTACGCCACTGCACTCCAGCCTGGGTGACAGAGTGAGACTCCATCTCAAGAACAAAAACAACACAAAACAAAACAAAAACAAATAAAATAATTGAGAAAGGGCTCAGGGAGGTTATACACGAAACCAGAATAACCACATGTGCTAATTGCTGAAGCTAACCAATAGGTATATCAGGGTCTATTCTCTCTACTTTTTCTTAACTATTCTCTCTACTTTACTATTCACTATACTATTCTACTTTTTTGAAATTTTCCATAAATAAAAATAAAAAATTTTAAAGTACATATCAATTCTAATCAAAAAAGCCTAAGAGCAATAAAGAAGCAATGACAAAAGCTTTCCAAAAGTATCATGGCAATGTTGAAAATTTAAGGTAGAACACATACTTACCACCTGGCTAATGTCATATCCCCATGGCAGGAAAAGAATCCCTGTGTTATACTTTTCCCAGTGGGACAGGATGAAAGAAAACAAAACTACCCATAGCAGGAGATAAAGAACAAAAACACTGACACCAGTCGATCCTCTTCCAAAGATGGAATAAACAGTTACAACAAAGTAAACACATGACCAACTATCCAGGCCATGATCAAAAAGCTCCCCTAAGGGAGTGCTAGAATTGGTTCTGCGAGCTTGCTTTCCGTCCACACCATCTGCAACAAAAACAAACCACAGGAAAAGTTCAACATATGCACCAGGATGGAGAAAGTCTTCTTTAATCAACTGGAAAAAAACAAAACAAAACAAATCAGCGTATCACAGAAATGTTAAGTATGGCTATCAGCCGGTACTATAAAAATCTAATTATTTAATTCTACACTTCAAAGAGTTCAGGGCCAGGCACAGTGGCTCACACCTATAATTCCCACACTTTGGCAGGCCAAGGCAGGAGGATCACTTGAGCCCATAAGTTTGAGATCAGCCTGGGCAACATAGCCAGACTCTGTCTTTACAAAAAATTTTAATATTAGCCAGGTATGGTGGTGTGGGCCTGTAGTTCCTGCTACTCAGGAGGCTAAGGTGGGAGGATTGTTTGAGCCCAGGAGTTTGAGGCTGCAGAGAGCTATGATCATGCCACTGCATTCCAGTCTGGGCAACAGAGCAAGACCCTGTCTCTAAAAAAAAATGTTAAACAAAAAACAAAGACTAAAATATATAATTTTTCAAAGTTTAATCTAAAAATCTAAATGTCATATTACACTGAATGGTGTCAATTTTAGATCTGAGAAAGCAGCATTTTACTTGGACTCTGAACACCTCCAAATCTACACAACTATTGGATTGTTCCACTAGCTACAAATTTTCAAGCTTCCAGCGAACACGCCAAAGTAATTCCTCACAACTTATCTCACCCCTCCTTGCTCTAGGATCCAAAAGTACTTCAGTCACAACATCTACTTTATCCTGTTTGAAATCATAATCACTTCTTTACAGATCTACTGCCCCCATAATCTTAAGTGCTTTCAGAAAATGCACATAGTGGATATTCAGCAAATATAAGAATTGAATTTACTGAAACTAATGCGCTATTCTTGGTGCTATAAGGATTGGAAGAATCTTAGAATAAACTGTTTGTGCCCTCAGAGTATTTACAATTGAGAAAGGAACAGGCTGGGTGTGGTGGCTCACGCCTATGATCCCAGCACTTTGGGAGGCCAAGACAGGAGGATAACCTGAGGTTAGAAGTCCAAGACCAGCCTGGCCAACAAGGCCAAACCCTGTCTCTACTAAAAACACAAAAACTTAGCCAGGGATGGTGCGCACCTGTAATCCCAGCTACTTGGGAGGCTGAGGCAGGAGAATCGCTTGAACCCAGGAGGTGGAGGTTGCAGTGAGCTGAGATCACACCATTGCACTCCAGCCTGGGCAACAAGAGCGAAACTCTGTCTCAAAAAAAAAAAAAAAAAGAGAGAGAAAGGAACAAAACATGATAATAAAGCTACGGTATATCACAAACCATAGAAGAGTACAGATAAGGGAAAGGTTCTCTTTAGGCTAAGATAATCCAGAATGGCTTTTCAGGCAGGTGAAATCTGAGTACATAAAGAATGAGTTGGATTTCAGCTGATAAGACATAAAGAAGTATGTCATTTCAAAAGGAGGGTATGCTATCAGCAAAACACACCAGGGTGGAAAAGCACAATGATGTTCAGAAAATGCCAAGCACTTTAGTTTGACTAGAGACTAGCATGTGAAGAGTGAAGCATATAAAAAGGTTAAAAAGGAGGTTTGAGCCAGTTAAAAGTTGTAGGGAATATGGGGAGTTACTAAAGGTATCTGAATAGAGAAATGACAAGAGTGAAAGCAATGCTTCAGGAAGAGGCACCTGACGGTGTGAATGACAGGCTGCAGAGAGGGACACTAATTAGTAGGCCTCAACTGAGATGAAATGCAGTAGGAATAAGAAGCTGGTGGTAGGTGAGACATTGAGGAAATAAAAATGATAAAATGCAGCAAAGATGAGGCATAAGGCCTAAGGACAAGAAGAGAATCTCCAGTTTCTATTCTGGGTAATGAAGATAGTGGTAGTGTTAATAGAAAAAAGGAAGTCAGAAGCAGCAGCAAGACTGACAGACAAGATGCAGAGTACAATTTCAGATACTGAAATTGAAGTGTTAGTGAGATATCCACATGGTAATGTCAAGGAACTCAATCCAAGGGTACTTATTAGGAACTCAGAACACAGGTGAGGGCTAGATATAAACAAGATATAAACATGGGAATCTTAACTAAGACTGTAGAGTGAGACTCACCATTACCAAGGGAATGAGGAGAAAGCCAGAGTTTAGGATAAAGCACAGTGGAACACCTTCATTTTACAGGCAGAAACAGAGAAGCCTGTTAGAGACAGCCTGTCTCACTGAATTATACACTTTTTCGCCCAAAAGAAACAGTTTTGTTAACTAAGTGCTTTAGAATTAGGCTAATTGTAAAAATTCAGAATAAGGAATTAAAAACTCTTATAATTACTGTTAATCTTGCTCACTAAAGTATATTCCCCAGTGCCTAGATCAGTCTGTGGCATAATACATTGTTGAAGACTTTATGAAAAGATGAATCCCAAACTCCCTATCCAAATACTACAGATTTCTGTTATACAAGGTTGGGAAAGTTTTTGCCCTGAAGTAGCTAAAATATTCCCAGAAAGTCTTTTCTCATTATTTACTGGCTTAACAATTTCCCATTTTCAATGTAATTCCTATGCAGTTATTACAATACTCAATTCATAAACTACGTATTAATTAGGTTTTATACATTTTCTCACTATACCCATTCCATCTCCACAAGTCTGAGGTCCAGATATGCTTTAGAATTTTTTTTTCTTAAAAAGGTAATTTAGGGCATATATCATATATTATCAGAGACTCCCCAGTAGGACACAGAGCAGCATCCTGTGATCAAACATCTAAGTATTTCTATAGCAAAATGTCATGAATAGTCACACTAGGTAGAATAAAGATTATAAACTGCTTCATGTTCATTCAAGACTGGTTTGCAACAAATAGTTCATGTCAGGTCAGGATTTTTGCCAAAAACTGTGGGCCTCGAACACATAGATGGTACATCAAAAGGATCTTATGGAGTGTTGTCAAAAGTCAGAGCTCACGGGTCACTCTCAACTTTTCCCTATTCCTCTCAGCAGTCCTTGGCAACCAAATCCTTCAGCAGCACTTAAAGACCTGCTCATCTGTAATAACAAATGCGCAAAAGCCTCTGCCTAAATATGTAGCTTTTAACTAAATTTTCCCCTAATTCTTCTAGACGTCACTGATTTCTTCCTTTTCCAAACTCTTGCAGCTCTGGTCAGCATGACATCTACCATATCAGTATTTAATCGTGTAGCAGGTTATGTTGGTTTTATGAGAACAAGTCGCTTTTATCTGAAGAGATCTAAGCAACTTGAAGTCAGGGTCTGCTATTTTACATGTATTTAAACACTATGTACTGAGTGTCTACGATACTGGGGATAAAGTAGTGAACAACGCAGTACTCACTTTCACAAAACTTAACATTTTAGTTAGAAAAGAGAGATAACAAACAAGCAGGAAAGTAAATAGATAACATGTTACATGGTTTGAAGTGCTATGGAGAAAAATAAAGCAGGGAAGGAGGAGAGAAGAATGCAGGACAAGCCATGCGGATAATCCTAATGAAAAGCATTCTTGGCAGAACAGACAGTATAGTCTAGCACAATAGGCTTCCCTGCCCACTCCCTGACTACTCTCTGTACCAAAAAAGAATTGATCACTTCCTTATGTGTTCTCCCACTGTGTTCTATCATAGTATCTGTTTTTTAATTATTACATATGGCAGTATTACTTCCCAAACTTAAGCAAAAATTATGTCTTATTCCAGAGGTTGCTAAATACTTTTTAAAGGCCGCATGATAAATATTTTAGGCTTTGCAGGCCATAAGTCTTTGTTGCAACTATTCAGCTGTGTCTTTATTGCAGGAAAGCAGCCATAGACAACATATAAAGGAATGAGCATAGATGTGTGCCAGTAAAACTTTACTAACAAAAATAGGCTACACATCAAATTTGGCCCACAAGTAGTGGTTTACCAACTCATCTTATTCTGCGAAACCCTCACAATGAATGACAATATTTTTTGTAGAGAAACTCAAAAACATATTTATCAATTTGAACAGGATACTAATAAACTCTAGTTAAAATGAATTAAGCACAGGAGAAAATGTTATTTTAATAGGTGGCTATCCTTGCTGATTCACCAGTCACTGACTATAGTAAGTATTTACCAGTTCCTTACCTAGAGTGTAGGCTACGAAGTTGAGGATGCCCACTACAATCCAAACCCAGTCAGGCACATGCTTGTGACCTGGTGCTGAAAAGGAAAGCAACTAAGATTTTAATACAGTTTAAGTATAGTAGTTCTTACCATAGCATATACTGACAGTGAGAAGTGTTGCTATTTGTTCATTAGAAGTTAAAGTACTTTACAATATATTTTGAATCCAGAATTAGGTAAATAATATCAGGAAACTGATAAAACCAAAAAAGCAATTCCCAGCCCCTCATAAACAGTAAAGCATTTATTTTGAGCTTTTATCAAAACTCAAGACTGAGTGTTCACCTTTACTTGAAAACAAATACTTTTCATGTGCCCACAGTGAAAAATAATGTATTTTTGGAATTTAAAAACTAACTGCATTTAATCTAATTCTTGTTGTTTATGATTGTATTACAAACTTGTATTGAGCATTCACCTTATCCTTTCCTATACTATTAATTAGCTAGACAAAAGACCTTTTGATTTGGATATAGATAGATCACCTCAACTGAATGATTTGGGCATCAGAATCATTCTGAAATATCTGGAGCTCACTTTTTCCCCTAAGACAAAACAACTGAGAATCAGAAAGTCTGGGTTCTAGTCCTGGCTTTGTAATCAACCAGCAGTGTAACCTTGAATGTATCATTTAATCTCTCCCATCTTGTATTTTCCAAATATATTGGGAATAGATGGTTTATCTAGTCCTTCAACTTATATGATTTGGGGAGATATATATAACATTTATGTATGTTTGCTTCCCTTAATAACTAAGTAAACAATCTTATTTAGAGTTGTCAAAGAAAATAATATTTCTAGTTACAAAGATACATTCTTTAGGGTGTCCTCAGGATTAAAATACAAAAAAAAATAAAAAATAAAAAAATTTTTAGAAACCCACAATACCCAAACAATGCTTAACAAAATTTAATCTTACTCTTTATTCATGTGTACTTTATGATCTTCTCATGCTTCAGAGTTGGCATTTCCAACTTCAATTACCATTTTATTACATGTACAGAAGCTATGACTAAAAGTTTCAGTAAAGTTCCACATATGTATACTTTCAATATTCAGAATTTCTATAATATCAAAAGTCTTGGTGAGGCGCAGTGACTCACACCTGTAATCCCAGCACTTTGGAAGGCCAAGGCGGGTGGATCATTTGAGGTCAGGAGTTCAAGACCAGCCTGGCCAACACAGTGAAACCCTGCTCTACTAAAAATATAAAAATTAGCTGGGCATGGTAGTGTACACCTGTAGTCCCAGTTACTCAGGAGGCTGAGGCAGGAGAATTGCTTGAACCTGGGAGGCGGAGGTTTCAGTGAGCCAAGATAGCATCACTGCACTCCAGCCTGGGCAACAGAGCGAGACTCTGTCTCAAAAAAAAAAAAGTAAAAAGCGTCTTAAGTGTTTGAAACTCCAAATTTTTCTACTAAAACAATGTTGTCAATGGTATTCAGTTTCTCCGGGTCAGTCCAGAAAAGTCTGCTGAACTCATACACAGATGAATTATAACGCTAACACTCCTGACTACACCATTTCTAAGTATTACTGTTGGAAAATAAATTCTCTTAGAATGCAAAAAACGCCCATCTATCTCCATCTTTCTATTCCTCTCAATGCAATCAACCGACTGAACAATAAAAACAAAACTTGTCTCCAACTATTCCCTCATCATCCCAATTCTTTGGCCTGGGGCAGAAGCCTGGTGTGAAACAGAGTGAAGATAAAACAGGTGAGCGAGAAGATGTTGGAGCAGAGGGCGGGAGCAGGCTGACCACTGGCTCCAAAAGGGCCTCCTTCCACTCTTCCCCAATAAGGGTCCAGACTTAGCAATAAATACTTAAGGTCTAAGAACCATTTTCAGAGGAAACTAGGAGTCATTCAAGTCAAGTGGGGATGCAGGGAAGGAGGAAAGATAATCACATTTCCTTCAGAAGAAAGGGGATTTTTCTTTCCTGACTAGAAAAGGAGAAGGGATATTCCTAGAGCTGACAGGTAAACTGAGCCCTGTTTGTATTCGTGTTTAGGCAAAGTTTTGAGTTTTAATTTTCCATCTTCATGCAAACCCAATTATTCTTTATCTGCCAAAACCTCACTGCTTTTTAGAAAACATATCTAATTCAACAGGCAAGGTGCTGCCATTATAATATCCAAAATTTTTTGGAAATATGAACATTTTAACAGAACCAGAAAATAAGCAACCACATTTCATTTTTCTCTACTCAGACATTTTAAATTTTATAATAAAGTAATATTCTTACCTGAGGCATAGAAGTCAGGATCAAAGTATGCCATTAGTAGAAAATTGAATACAACCAGCAGAAAACCAGAAAAAGTTATCAGATTGGGCGCCAGCCAAGTAGGAAATACCTATTTTTGCAAAATAATTATAAAATAATTAAAGTAGAAGAATCTCTGTCCAATATATACAACATGCAAATTGAAGTCATAAGTTTGAAAGATCATATGGAGAAGTTATAGACATGTAAACCATAATCTCCATTAGCATTATTTCTTCCATCCTCTATATTTTAACTACCTCTATAGTTAGCAAACTTCTATAACATTAAGTCTATTTTAGAAAATTTTAAATGGGATTTTACAAAAATGACAAATCCCAGGGTATAAACTTCAACAGTATGATAAATCAAAAGGTATGTGACTAAGGAAACGGAGGATGGGAAGGGTAGTTTCTCTAGATATCTTACGAAACTGAGAGTTGCATTTATAATACTCCATAAAATAGGTTAAAATCTTTAAAACGTACTAAAACAAGAAAGTACATGCATATTAATTATCTTACCTTTACTATAGTGTTCCAAAATGGATGCATGACATACAGAGAAAGTGGATTGGTATCCACAGCACTGTACTGTTAAGAAATTAAAGAAAATATTCAGAGTCAATCCTTGTCTACTAGTAAACAGAATAACATTTCTCAAATGAAAATAATAGTAAAGCCAGGTGCAGTGGCGCATGCATATGACCCAGCTACTCAAAAGGAAAGAAAGCAATAGTACAAAAATAATACAAGCCAGGCATGTTGGCTCGCACCTATAATTCTAGCACTTTGGAAAGGCAAAAGAGGGCGGATCACTGAGGTCAAGAGTTTAAGACCAGCCTGGCCAGTGTGGTGAAACCCCATCTCTACTAAAAATACAAAAATTTGTTGGGCTGTGGTGGCACACGCCTGTAATCCCAGCTACTCAGGAGGCGGAGGCAGAGGTTGCAGTGAGCCAAGGCTGTGCCACTGCACTCCAGCCTGAGCGACAAAGCAAGACTTGAGTCTCAAAAATAATAATAGTAATAATAATAATACAAAAACAACCTGGAGAATACATTTATTTTTATGATGTCCTAATCTGAGTAGCAAAACTAGAATAGCAACATAAATGAGGCAAAGACTATCAAGCACAGTCAGATACTATTTTTATGGGAGAAGGAAAGGGTCACAGCGTAAGTCTAAAGATCAACCCCAAATCACAGAGTTAATCACAGCAGTTGTTTCATTGGCACATACTCATCCAGAGTCCAAATCGCCAGGATAATCACTGACTCATCCTTCACTCTCAATCACCTTTTACATTACAGTGTTTCAGCAGAGAAATTTATACTGCTTACATGTCCTCACTTATTGCAGGATCAGTAAAATGCACACTGCATGCATTCAAACACTAACCACACACCTTCTCAACCTCCTTCATCCCTCTCATCTTAGAGGAATCTGTGTTTCCTCTTGATACCATTACGATACATTTACTAGCTGTTAGAGCTTGGGCAAGTTACTTAATATCTCTGCCTTAGTTTCTTCACCTGTAAAATGAAGATGATAGTCCTTACCTCAAGGGATTGTCATAAGGATTAGATAAGTGAAAACAGTACCTGACCTACAGTAAGTACCATGTAAGTATTAGCTATTATAATTACACGTTTTAAGTTCCAAAGGAATGACAGATCCCCATATAGCAGGATACTGAATTGCATAAATATGCAAAGGAAGACAAAATAGGTTAGGGTTGTATGATAAGGGAGCTTATTCCCCAGTTACTGAGCTATTTAATAAGAATGTAAAGGAAATTTTAAAGGACATACATAAACATGTAAAACTTTAAGGGTCATGTTGATAACTTATTCACTCCACACATACACTGCTAGGTATGGGGGAGAACGGATACAAAACTGGTAACAGACAAGTCTTGAACTAGGTAATATTAGCCTAGTTCAAACCCTCCTTGAGGGTTCACAGTATTACCTGGGCGATTATTACCTAATTCATCCATCTGAAATTTACATATTATACTAGTCACACACTTTAAAAAGTTTTCCTTTTTCTTTTTTTTTGAGATGGAGTGGCTCTGTCACCCAGGCTAGAGTGCAGTGGCGCGATCTCAGCTCACTGCAACCTCCGCCTCCCGAGTTCAACCAATTTTCCTGCCTCAGCCTCCTGAGTAACTGGGATTACAGGTGCGCACCACCACACCTGGCTAATTTTTGTATTTTTAGTAGAGATGGGGTTTCACCATGTCGGCCAGGCTGGTCTTGAACTCCTGATCTCAGGTGATCCACCTGTCTCAGCCTCCCAAAGTGCTGGGATTACAGGCGTAAGCCACCGGGCCCAGCCAGCTTTGCTTATATTTTCTATGTATGCTCAGTATGTATACAAAATAAGTAGTAATCATTTGAGTATCTGATTTTTAAAACTCATAAAGATAAAAATTTCTTTCTGAATAAGTTTTGTGAATATGCAAGAAATACATCAGTGTTTCAAGACTTAAAAGTGTGATGGAACAAAGAAGTAAATAAATAGAAAATGTTTAAAATACCGTTAGCAAAGAGTCAACCAGTAAGCCTAATGTTTATTCAAAAGACTCCATGTCTGAGGTTCTTCCATTTCTCCAACCCATCCTGACTAAAATGAAATTAATTGGACAAAAGATCTGAGACAGTAGTAAGAAATGACAATGGGCTGGCCAGGCGTGTGGCTCATGCCTATAATTCCAGAACTTTGGGAGGCTGAGGATCATCTGAGGTCATGAGTTCGAGACCAGCCTGGCTGGCACAGTGAAACTCCATCTCTACTAAAAACACAAAAACAAATTAGTCAGGTGTGGTTGCACACACCTGTAATCCCAGCTACTTGGGAGGCTGAGACAGGAGACTCACTTGTACCCGGGAGGCAGAGGCTGTAGGGAGCCGAGATTGTGCCACTGAACTCCAGCCTGGGCTACAAAGCAAGACTCCATCTCAAAAACAAAAAAAAAGAAATGATGATGGGCAATGTGGTTTGCTTCTAATGGCCAGAGGTAGAAACTCTAAAGCTGCATCCAGCCTCTCAGTAGAAGCCCACTTTAATAAGCACAGCAGTCGCCTACTTACCCCAGGTTTCATTTTAACCATAGCCAACCAGGGTCGGAAAATAGGTGAGTACAGTACATACAGACGTTTCGAGAGAGAGAGACCAAATTCACATAACTTTTATTACAGTACATTGTTATAGCTGTTCTATTTTTAGTTGTTGTTAATCACTCACTGTGCCTAAACTTTATCACAGGTGTGTATGTATAGGAAAAAACAGTATATACAGTCACCCCTCGGTATCTGCAGGGAATTGGCCCCAGGACTCTCTGTGGATGCTCAACTCCCTTATATAAAATGGCACAGTATTTGCCTATAACCTACACACATCCTCCCATATATTTTTTGAGACAGAGTCTTGCTCTGTTGCCCAGACTGGAGTGCAATTGCGCGATCTCGGCTCACTGCAAGCTCTGCCTCCCAGGTTCATGCCATTCTCCTGCCTCAGCCTCCTGAGTAGCTGGGACTACAGGTGCCCACCACCACACCTGGCTAATTTTTTGTATTTTTAGTAGTGACAGAGTTTCACCATGTTAGCCAGGATGGTCTCAATCTCCTGACCTCGTGATCCACCTGCCTCGGCCTCCCAAAGTGCTGGGATTACAGGTGTGAGCCACCACGCTGGGTCATCTACTTTAAATCATCTCAGCTTACTTATAATATCTAATACAATGTAAATACTATGTAAATAATTGCTGTATTCCATTGTCTTTTTATTTGTATCTTTTGCTGTACTGTTATTTATTTATTTATTTTTTAACATTTTCAATCCACAGTTGGTTGAATCTATGGATGTGGAACCTGTGGATACAGAGAACCTACTGTACAGGGTTTGGTACTGTCCTTGGTTTGGGGCATCCACTGGGGGTCTTGGACTGTATCTCCCATGGGTAAGCGGGGGGCAATTTTATTAGCGTTCTTATTAAACATGTACTAAACGTACAACTTTCACTTGTAGGATGGTCTACAGTTTTTTTTTTGTTGTTGTTGTTTGTTTTTTTGAGATGGAGTCTCACACTGTCACCCGGGCTAGAGTGCAATGGTGTGATCTCGGCTCACTGCAACCTCCACCTCCCAGGTTCAAGCGATTCTCCTGTCTCAGCCTCCCGAGTAGGTGGGATTACAGGTGCCCGCCACCATGCCTGGCTAATTTTTTGTATTTTCAGTAGAGACAGGGTTTCACCATGTTGGCCAGGCTGGTCTCGAACTCCTGACCTCATGATCCACCCGTCTTGAGCTCCCATAGTGCTGGGATTACAGGCGTGACCCACCGTGCCCGGCCAGGATGGTTTGCAGTTTACAAAGCTTTTCCATGATAGATATCACTCCATCAGAGCCTGTGCAGAATGAAAGAGTTCTGAACTGACAGGACTGCCTGAATTTAAGTCTTCAGACCTGAGGACCAGGAACCAATATGAACCCCTACAGGCTGCCAATGACAAGGTAGAAGGGCCCTACATTCCTCTACTTCACAAAAGTCTGTACCCAGAACCATGAAATACAGCCAGCAGGGCAAATAAAATGAAAAATCACCCCTTTCAAGTCCACCATCCATCAGAAAGCACAGAAGTTGTAAGTTCAGATCAGAAGAAAACCGTTTCAGATATCACATGAATACCTAATATAGTGCACAAAGTAACTGTTCAATGTTCTTAATTCAACTGTTTGCTCATTTTCATTCAGCAGCTTTCCATAATTTAACTTTTATCTAAAAGAATTCTTTAAGGAATGCTATTTTAACTTGAAAAGCTCCTCTTTTAAAATTCTGAAGCTTTAACATGAAATTTCAACTTCAGGAAACCAGGAGAAGTATGATACAAGAAGGTCAGTTTACCTAATTGGATTTCAATTATTTGACATTCATTAACAGCTGATGAGTTCAAACAGGAAGAAAGATTAATAGATTACAGAAGGCAGCAAAACTCTGTGCTCTCGCCTTACACACCTGAGTATTTTTCAAGGTCACATACCACTCACGATAAACAAAGAACTCTAAACTGTTTTATGAACCCACAGGAAGAAGAACGACTTAAACCTTCCACATTCATGAAAAAAATAAAATGCAAACTTTTAAAGGTGCTAGACTAGATTTGGGTTTGTTAATGTTTGTTAAAGGTATTATTTTCCATGGGAGTGACGTTTTGGCCAACACCAGGAAACCTGAACCAGGTAGATAATCCAGTTAAGACCTGGCATGACTTGCTTGGCTCTACAATCTATCAGGCTAGGGTAAGCTAGAGCCCTCAAAACTGCTTGAGGACCACAGGCTGGGTTTGATAGACTCGTTCCATGGAAAACCTCAGAACTCAGAGATGCCTTAACCTTATACACCATTGTATATCTGACCCTCATCTAGGAGAAGAGGTAAAACAGTCATCGGGCCTCAGATCACCAAAAAACCAAAACAAACTACAAAAAAACTCACCAACTCATTACTTCGAGAAGCAACCCAATTCAAAGTTACAACAACTTTTCCATATACTAACAAAATCCTCCCCTGCCCTATATCATCTATCC